TTAGTACTACTACACACACACACACACACACACACACACACACACACACACACACACACACACACACACACACACACACACACACCTTTTGCACGAGGTTTTGTCCTAGCCTTCTCCTGGTTTCAGTCAAGGCCCAGTGCCTCTGGACGGGCCATTGACTCTTGTATCTCATAAAGGTGGCGTATATAGTAAAACCTATATGTCCTCTAGTGTATTGCAGCCCTGTATTAAGGCTAATGGGCCTTGTGGGTAAGCTCTAAAACAGGAGGGCTGATGAACGTTCACAGCTTTAAAAAGTGACAATAAGCAGGTCTGTTGTTCCTCGTCAAGGATGATGTCGTTGTTAAAGCTGATGTCTGCTTCTACAGAAGGTCGTTTTCTCGTGATGTGTTTCAACTCGTCGATAGAAGGAATCCTTGGTTACTATAACCCTTTATGATACACTACATTTATACAGTTTTGTACATTTCAAATGTTATCTCGTTGCAGTCATCGCTACAACCTCTGCTTTTACCACTCTTATTTATTTATTTGTGTCTATTTTTTACTGCAGTGAGAGTTGCCAAAGACATTTCATTGTACTTTGTATGATGACAATGCAAATATATTCTATTCTATTCTTTCATTCGAACACAAGCACCTTAAATGATGTTCTGTACTCACATCTCCAACTCTCTGTAATGTGTAAAATAATGTGTAACAAAGGTTTATTTTTGCTGGTTTCAGGGTATTTCCTCCAGACGCTCTTCCCGCCCTCGCAGCGCTCCTTCCAGGGCTGCATGCAGGCGATCCTGCTGGACGACCAACCGGCTGATATGCACGCGGTGGAGAAAGGCATTATGGGTGCTTTTGAGAACGTCAGCCTGGATATGTGTGCAATCATAGACAGGTAAGAGTGATAATGCCTGCATGCACTCACATCCAAACAATCATTCATAAATGTAAATATACACATCCGTTGTATGCAAAGCACTAAAACAGCGGGTCAATAATGTCATAAATCAAATGGTTTTAAATTAGAAATGTAATATAAACAGAGTCTAAATTGTTTCTAGAGATATATGAGTCAAGGCTGCTGTGTGTGTTACTGCACTATAATACATGTGTGTGTGCTTGTCATACTGATAAATGTAATGTATAGTGCTATTTTTTCATTTTAAACTAAAATAAATGGCTAGGTTCCTCCTTGGAAAACTCTGTACAATCTCAAGCAAACATCAAGAAATTGCCGTGCTATTTTTTTATTCTGAGTATTGCAAAGCTGGATATTCTGCACAGCACGTCCTCATGTTGGCTCTCTGGAAACATTCATTACTACATGTTGACACTTCAATTTATTTCCTTGTCATCTACTAGACAAATACATCGGGAAGGATTTGCCTCATATGGAATCATCAAAAGCTCAATTTGCTGAATCGGATGCCTGTGTGCAAAACGTTTAAACTTCGAAGACGGCTTTGACCTCCAGGAATTAAGCCGTGTCTTCTGTAGACCAAGTTATGCGAGGAACTTCACTGATCTAAACGGGAAACACGATCGCACCGTTCAGATAAACGTAGGAAGCTGCAATTAGGAGTTGACCTTGTGCTGATTGGAACAACTTCTTCCCTGAACTGAGAGATTTGTTTCCAGGTTAGACTTGTCAATAACACTTACCTTCATCAATACCCTCTCTCTGAGAAGTAGACACCAGCTGCCACTGCTTGATTAAGATCAATGTTGTCCTCACTTCAAGTGCGGTCTGGATTATCTGGATTCTTCCATTTGGACCAAAGCTTGAGCCATGTTCATTCACACTGATACGAATGTCTCAAATGAATGTGAAATAATGAGTCATAACAAGCTATTCATTTGATCCATTGTTAGTATTAAAGTATTGATTGTCCCTGGACTGTCATTTTCTTTAGCATTTTCAAAGAAGCTACACTCTAAAGCTTCACTGTACTCAAGGATTTAAAAAAAAAATGTTTTCACGACTATACAATTCTGAAAAAAAGGTGTTTTACTTATTACATTTAACAATGCCTAACACATTCAGCTCTTACATTTTGATGAAGCCCATCTAGGGATTAGTTTATGGATTTGCTGGCAGCCTTCTGTTATCATTTGTTTGGCATTGCATTGCGAGGTAATGTAGAAATGATTGTTCTTGCAGATTGTGGTGTATTAGCACTGAGGGTGGTTACTAGCAGCTGTGCTCAGACTTTTAGAATGAATTCATGTTAAGGTCCTTAGCTATTCACAACAGCCTCCGACCTTTAGCCGCATCTCTGTTGTGTTGTGTATCGGCCCGCAGTGTGCAGGTGGGCCCTGTGCTGCCATGGAAGATGAATGGGTGCAGTGTTACCATCCAACTAATCAGAGTGTCTTTGAAGACAGTTCAATAGCCCTGTCTGACCTCCTTTTGATCAATGCCGTTCCACTGTGGGATTCTGTTGACGGTGGGAGAAGCAAAACATGCACACAAAGGTATAGCATTCAAATTCCCACAATCCACAATCCTGTAGGGGCTCTGCAACACACTCACATGAAACATAAACACACTCTGGAGGTTTTCCTTTGTCTTCATCGATTTTTCCTCAGACAAAGCCCAGAGCATGAAGTCGGTATAAAGTACCTCTCAGCATCATAGAGCATAACGTCTTTGGGATTGTCAATGCTCATCAATTACATAATGCCATTTAAACTGCACTTGTTAGCGTTATGCAGATTTAACATTCCAATACATTACTAGGAATTTCCTTTTTTGTATTTACAGTACATGCAAAAAGTCATGGTTGAACATTATTTAAATACCAAAGGTCGGGCTCAGAGCTCACTCGTATATTAATTCATTTTTCTAAAGCACTATTAGATTTGCAGGCAGGTAAATGTGCGATGTGTCACTTCAGTGTATATTTTTGCATCAGTCAGCCCCAAGATCTCCTTAGATAAGCAAATTATTTCAAATCTCATTTCTCTACCCATTTCCTTCTGCAGCAGCTATGTCCCTCCCTCATTCTGCCCACACTTACAATGCATTTATAAAACTCTATTTTCTCCAAGGCTTTATTAAACAAGGACCAAAAGCATTGATCTGTAAAAGAGATGAGATGATTTATGCCAGATTTAGCTTTAAACTAATGTGCAGGTACACGAAGAACAATTTGCAGACATCAATTTCCATGCACACCATAACGTTGTCTCTGACAAACCATCAATTACCGGTACACACAAATCTACACATTGACTTATGAATCAGCCACATGCATCCAGTGAAACTATAAATCTACAATGTATCACAATGAAAAACCTGAATCACGATACATTTCATGTCGACAATACGGCTTGCCCAATATCCGTTTTTGGTAACACTTTATATTAAGGTACACAAATTAACCATCAACTAGTTGTTCATCAACATGCATATTAGTCATTATAAAACACTTATTAATTCCTTATTCTACATGACCATATTCTACAAGTAATAAGCCATCAGTTGAGAGTTTTTCCTTAATAACCCTCTAATTAGTGCTTATTTGTTGCAAGTAAGGAAGTTGTTGTACATGAGTTTGGGTCTTAATATGCTCTGCTCAATATGGGTCTAATAAGGCAGTAGTACAAGAATAGTAATTCTCCCATAATGACACTTAACAAATATGATCTATTCTTATGTAACAAGACATTGGTAATTGGACTGTAATTGGACTGTACTTATATAGCGCTTTATCCAGTCTTTAAGACCCCTCAAAGCGCTTTACATACTACATGTCATTCACCCATTCACACCCATTCATACAGAGCAGTGTACCTTACTCTAGGACCTAACACACATTCACACACCGTTGGCCATGCCATCGGGAGCAACTCAGGATTAAGTATCTTGCCCAAGGATACATCGAAATGTTGACTGCATGGGCTGGGATCGAACCCACAACCTTCTGGTTGAAAAACGACCACACTCCCTCACAGCCACAGTCGCCCTGAAACTATAAGTGTTAACTGTGTCTAATTAACTCAAAATTAAGTATGTAACTCATGTACAACAACTTCCTTACTTGCAACAAATAAGCACTAATTAGAGGGTTATTGAGGAAAAACTCTCAACTAATGGCTTATTGCTTGTAGAATATAGTCATGTAGAATAAGGCATTAATAAGTGTTTTATAATGACTAATATGCGTGCTAATTAACAACTAGTTGATGGTGAATTTGTGTACCTTAATATAAAGTGTTACCCCATTTCTTGCACCTCAGGGAAAATATTGAAAGTCTGTATCGGCAGTATGTACTTGTGTCAGCCTCATAGTTACTGGAGGCAGCCATTGTCTCGTCTCCCTCCAGAGATAAAACGTCTCTTTGCTGCTTAAATGTCTCCCTACTGTACATGACTAAAGAAGAACTCAGCACTTTAAAGGCCCCCTGCAGCTCCTATGAGTCAGTTAGTTTTTAATCCAGCTGGCTTTCCTCTTAACATCGCTTTGATTCATTCAAATAATCACACTCGGATATTTTAATCACTTAAATATTTTTTGTGTGGAAATCCCCCCTCGGGAGAGATTTCCCAGCAGGCCGCAGGCAGATCAAACTGAAACTGGGATGTATTCAGTTTGTATTCAGTTGTTATGTGCTGCTGTATTCACACTGTGGGGATAACACTGTTTACATACACTACACTCCTAATTCCAGGTCCCTAGTTGAAATATCACCACTCGATTGAGACAATATAATTCTTCCTTCTCTTTTGCTTAAGAAACACAAACTCAAGAAGCCCGAATTCTGTCGCCTCCTGCTTTTCACAATCACTTAAATTGTGTTTTAATAAATGCAGACACACAATTTAGTTGTTTTACCTTGACATAGTATGCTTATATCAATACAAAACACATTTAATTTGTGGTCAACATTCAAAACAAGCCATGCTATATCCAGTGTTCGAATTACCCATTTGCTTTCGGGGAGCCCTATTTTTCAGAGCACATCCTGCTACTAAATATGTCACACGCACGCTCTGTTGACTGGCGCAGCAGCGCGGATGCGATCAATTGCTATAAAAACACTCTTCTACTAATACAGACGGTGTCACTATGCCGGCGGATGTGGCCGTTGTTGAAGCCTCTTCAGGCTCCGCATCGGCAGGCCTCTCCCTCGGTGTGCAGCTGTCAAACTCGACCCTAACGCCGCTTACAGCCGGCCAACTAAAAGTTGTTCCGTTCACGTTGTCAATTTTAGATTCCTTCGCTTCTTTGCTTGTGAATCCAAAAGCTGCGAGGCTTGGCTGTTTTCGTTTTGCCATATTTTTTATTACAAAGCCAGAGTTAAAAAAATATCAATATGAAAATATCAGATGCCGCGCCGGCATCGCCGCCGTAACCATAGCAACGTAAGTAGCGTAAAGAATGCAGCGCCGCCACGTACAGATGGCAAAACCCAGAAATATTCACAAATATAAAACAAATGTTCAGAAACTGTAATGAACAATGACTATTATTTATTTCAAGAACTTTTATTTACAGAAACTCAATATTTATAATCTGTGTGACACAAATATGCACAATTTGTTTGTGCTCCCCCCCATTTCGAACACTGGCTATATCATCTTGTAGTGAAATGTGTCACAAGTGTATTTCTTTCAACAATGAGTATTCCTTGACAGAATCGGTGCTTTGGATTATACACTCTGAACACGTAGTCTATAAACTCTATTTTAATTTGGGAAAAAATGCTTTGTTTGTGCGGCTTTATGATTGCTTTATTTATCGATTTAAATATATACTCTCGCCTTTGAGTATAATAATACATACATATTTTATACATTTACAATAAAAATGTACTGCACATATTTATAAAAATACTCTCTTATTCTTTCTCAAGGTGTATGCCTAACCACTGTGAGCACGGCGGCCGCTGTAAGCAGACGTGGGACAGCTTCAGCTGCACCTGCGATGGGACGGGATACACTGGAGCCACCTGCCACACCTGTGGGTAGAAGTGTGTGTGTGCGTGTGTGTGTGCGTGCGTGCGTGCGTGCGTGTGTGTGTGTGTGTGTGTGTGTGTGTGTGTGTGTGTGTGTGTGTGTGTGTGTGTGTTTGTTTGTCTGTGTGTGTAGTTGAATGTTATTTTCCATCACCACTGTGCTCTGTTCCAGTTGTTTGGATTGGCCTCCCTCTGTTTCTCCTTTGAGTGATTAAGCTGTTTCTCTCTCGGAGCCTCAGTCTGAACTTTGATTTTTTTCTGACTGCGGTGTGTTCGGTTCTGAGGAGAGGCAATCTCACCAAAGCACCCGCACAAAGACACAAAGAAAACAGAGTCAGAAAAGCCAGAGGGTTTTTCAAAGGCTTAAAAATGTTAGAATGCCATCCCCTTCTCCCAGGGGTCGCATATTGTTCTCTTTCATGAGAGGATGGAAGGGAACATGTTGGCCATACTGTAATTGTTCAACATGAAGAAATAAGATGGAAGAATAGAGTCATTTTAAATTACATCGATCATACTGTAAAACAGCCTGATATAGAACTGTCTTAAAGGTGGAGTAGGTAATTTTGGAGAAACCGGCTCGAGTGTGCTAGCATTTGAAAATACACAGCCGGGAAAAATCTGCCACTTCCTTACAGAGCCCCTCCTCCAACACACACGAACGTGCACATGACCAATGAGGGCACGAGATAAGTTTGTGCACAGATGGAAGGCTGACAGGCAGGTAGGCCATCCATGTTAGTCGAGCTTTTTACAGCGCCACAGCTTCCACAGATGACCATTTTTTTTATGGATTTTTTGTCAAAGCACTTCAGATATTCATTGCTATCGGGATGTTAAGAGCATTCCATGGAATATAACAACAAGTGTATCTCGAGCCGGTTTCTCAAACTTACCNGTTCAACATGTAAGAAGTAGAAAGTACAGGTATTTGTGTTCAAAATGTAAGAAGTCAAAGTAAAAAGTCGTCAGAAGAATAAGTATTGGAGTAAAGTACTGATACTAGAAACATTTACTTCAAGGTAGGTAAGAATGGAGAAACCAGCCCGAGTGGCTAGAATTTGAAAATACACAACCGGAACAAATCTGCCACTTCCTCACAGAGCCCCTCCTCCAACACACACGAACGCGCACATGACCAATGAGGGCACAGGATAAGTTTGTGCACAGATGGAAGGCTGACAGGCAGGTAGGCAATCCAGTTACTTTAGCCGGCTCAGATGATTGGTCGTGCTTTTTACAGTACCACGGCTTCCACGGATTTTGTGTCAAAGCACTTCAGATATTCATTGCTATCGGGATGTTAAGAGCATTCCATGGAATATAACAACAAGTGTATCTCGAGCCGGTTTCTCAAACTTACCGAACTTTAAGACAGTTAATAACGCATAGGAATAAGAGATAAATGTGATTGTTATTTTTACACAGGACTTTTAGTGAGTGATGATGAGAGGAGATTTTATAGATAATGCATTCTGTTGAAAAATATGTTTAGTCGGAGTTGCACAAGATAGCAAGGAGGGAAACCACAAACAGAGAAAATAATAGAGACAACAAGAATGGAAGAAAGGAAGTAGAGATGGGAATGTCATAAACAGTATTAATAAAAAGCTAAGAATAAACAGAGTGAAAGAAAAAAGGCTTATTTTTCCTATTTAACTCAGCATTAAGCCTGAACGCTCTCGCCTCATCAAGGAAGTTTCTCTCTCTGTGAAGTGCAGTTTCTCCTCATCTCTCTGTCACAAACATAACATCAATATGCTGTCAGATAGATTGCTAAAGTGTGTGCGGCAAGACACCACTTCTTGACAGGCGCTGAAAAGAGACTGGCAACCGCATGAAATTGCCTTTTGGAAGGAGGAAAAAAACAAATTGAGGACATCAATGAGCTATTTTAGATGCATCCTAACATTCTTCAATTGAATTAGTCTTTGGTCTGACAGAATGTATCGTACTTTTCATATGCAAGCTATCTTTGGAGAAGTATACCCGTATTTATCGTAGCTGTTGGCCTCATATGGTGTTAACATAATGTAGTATAATATCATGTAGTACACTGTGATTCCTAAGCCTACCTTGCTATGAGCATTTAGACGACATTTTGGGGTCTTCACGTGAATTTGCCCAGTTGTTTCATTGTTCCAACCAACAGAACAAGAATGCAAAACAACGGTCCTTTTTCTCCATGCATCCACTCCATTTCCACATGGATTTGTGGAAATATGGCCAGTTGTTTATCCATAATCCTCCTGACAGACAGATATCCTTTCTTATTCTTATTATCTGTGTTTGCTCTTAGCTGCTCTTAGCTTTGTCTCTTATTGTTTTTCTTTCTATGACACCTACATTTCCCTACGGGGATAAATAAAGCTTTATTTTATATTGAATTGTCACTCAGCCATGTCCATGGTTTTTATTTCTTTATTCTTCTGATGTGCAATAACCTCAGTGGCTATTGACTTTTTTCTCTTGTTACCTCTTCCTTTAACTGCTCATGTGTCCCTTTACTTCCCCCCCCCAGCTATCTATGAGCCGTCCTGTGAGGCCTATAAGCATCGTGGCCGCTCCTCTGACACCTACTGGATCGACCCTGACGGCAGTGGGCCCCTCGGCCCCTTCAAAGTCAATTGCAACATGACAGGTGTGTGCGTTAGTGCCTGGAATCAATGTGTGGGCAGGTGTGTGTGTGTGTTTGTGCAGTTGTGTGTGCAGGTCCCCACTCTTTCCAGCCAGTGACCTGTGATGGGAGAAAACTCCGCAGAACCTCTTCATTCTTAACCTCAGACGGCGGCACTCTTAAACTGCTATACCTGAGGTTTCCATGGCAACGCGGCCACAGCTGCTGACATTTAGCTCTGAAGGAGCAGCCACCACACACACGCACGGATTCACACACACACACACACACACACACACACACACACACACACACACACACACACACACACACACACACACACACACACACACACACACACACACACACACACACACACACTCGCCACAAGCGCATTTGAAACAGGCCTGTTATGCAGAGCTAAGAGTGCTCCAATGATCTGAGTGACACTTCTGCACAAAGACACACACACACAAACACCTGCTGAGCTCCAAGCAAACACACATACACACATACACACACACACACACACACACACACACACACACACACACACACACACACACACACACACACACACACACACACACACACACGCAGAGTGGAATAAGTGGAGAGTCTGGAACAGCAGAGCATGCAGGCAGAGCAAAGGCGAGACTTTTAATGAAATGTCACTGCACTCCACTGGCTAGCCCTTAGTCACGCTGAATAGCTCTCTCACACAACCTCAGAAATGTTAAGAGTGTCTCTTTCTCCCACACATACACACACACCTCAGAGGCCTGAAACACACACACACACATTCCCTGACTGACAGTGTGAATGAACGGGGAGATATCTGAGCGACTGGCTCATGCTTTAACAGCACAGAAGTGTCAATTAAACTCTGGAGGCTCATAGCTGTAACTTAGATTACACCGCCACCGCCATGACTGACAAACTGCAGTTCTGTGTGTACTGACTTGAACTATCACACCACATTTAACTAATTTATTCCCACAGTTGAGTTTAACTTGGTAACGTGTTTGTGTTTTAGAGGACAAAGTGTGGACGACAGTTATGAACAACCTGCCGCCCAAAACTGCTGTGACGGGCTCCAGCAGAGAGAGACGCACCGTCCTGCAGGTCAACTACAGCGCCTCCATGGACCAGGTAACACCATACTTGTCAACCCTCCCGATTTTCGCGGGAGACTCCCGATTTCATTGCCCTCTCCCGGTTTCCTCCCGGGGTCATATTTTTCCCGCATTTCTCCCGAATTCTGACAAAATCAGATTTACTCAGGACTGTTTCCACTCGGACTTTAATACAGCTACACCATTGTTTGGTTTCCATGGTAACACGTCTCTTTAGTAGCGCGCGCAACTGAAAGTCTGAGAGGGTGAGGCAGATAGTCACAGAAAACAGAACAAAAATCGACAACTACTCTACTCTCTGCTCACTCCTTTCCTGCCCACACATATGCTCCACTCAAGGATGTGCTACAGGCCGCAAGGCATTAGCACTTAGAACTACAATATAAGCATG